GCCTTAACTTCTGACATGATGCTGTCCAAATTGGACAGGTAGGACACAAAAGAATGCAATTGCCAAATTTTCAAAGACAAGGTAGGACAGTTCTTCAAAAAATTCTTGCTTCACTGGAAAGTCTGTCAGCAATTCTAGACCTGTAGGTTGAAGATGGATGTCTTAGCATTGCAGATGAACTTGGTCCAGCTTACTCTGTCATTTCTATAGTTTTGCAAGTTATTTCCTTTGCACTCTCTGTTTACTGGGGTAATATTATATCTTTCTTGGGTTTCTGATAGTGCTTGAAGACTAGGTAGTTATAACATTTTCTTTGTTGCAAATTCAGAAAAGAAACTTACAACAGAGATGTAAAGTGCGTAAGGCTGATAAATATAAAGGATTAAGTAGTTTATCTAATAAAATGTTTTTAGGTCTAAAAAGATAATTTTACTTTGGTAATAAAATATATGTTAGAAAGTTGTCTAGTTATAATATGTTGAACACACCAAGATAGGCTAGATAATGGAATAATATCTCTCAAATTTGCTAAATACAAATGGACTGGTGTCTTAGGGTTTCTATTGCTGCAATAAAATACCACGATAAAGACAGCAATTTGGGGAGGAGGCTTTTATTTAGATTATACCTGAGCATTGTTTTTCATCACTGAAGGGAGTCGGAAGAGGAACTCAAACAGGGCAGGATCCCAGAGGCAGGAGCTGGTGCAAGATGACATGAAGCAGAGCTGCTTACTAGCTTGCTTCCTGTGACTTGTTCACCCCACCTACTTATAGGACCACCTGCACAGGGATGGCATCATCCACCATGTGCTGGACCCTGCCTCATTGATCACTAATTGAAAGAATGCCTACTTCTGGATCTCAACAAGGCATTTCCTCTAAATGAGGCTTTTCTTAAATTGATGCTCCTTTCTCTCTGATGATTCTAGTTTGTGTCAAGTTGACACACAAAACCACTCAGTACACAGTTCAAAAGAAACACTAAGATGGATTTTAGGGGGAGGGTCAATAAAATGTCTATTGATAAGATAACTAATGCAATGGACAGAGAGACAATAGCTTGTCAGTGTCTCTGCCAATCAGGCTCAAGTCACAGCAACAGATGTCCATCAGAATAGTGCTCTGAGGAAGGAGGAGTTTCATAGCAGCAGTCCTTTGCTAAGACATGATTCATCATCAGAAAGGTCACATTACACCAGCATACATCATTGGGAGGTTAGTATACAGGCTATGTCATTTCCCCTTTCCAGATTTGGAGTGTTAAAGTGTTTTGTAAAACCCATTATTTAACAAGATGATACCTGGTAGTCTTGTACAGAATGGATCTCTAGGTTTACTACAGGGACAAAATCCTGGAAGAGAGTAGGAGACCACACCTGGGAAGGTGGGTTCACCTTAAGACAATATACTTTTCCTCCCCATTTTCCTGGGACCGAGTGAAGTCCTTGTGAGCCACAAGAAGGTTTTCCTGATCTGTTAGTTTTCTGAGTTCTTACTGGGAAAGTCATAACTATTGATTTTCTTCTCTTTGTCATTTTTGTCACACTGGAATAAACCTAAGTATACATTTATGCTTCATAACTCTGAGAATCCCTGCTCTTTTTCTAATGCTCCCATCCCCGACAACTTTTGGATGCCTACCATTGTGTGCTGACCTTCATGCCAGTTTATCTCATTTATTCTCCTCCTACAAATTCAGATCTGTGAGATTTACAGCTTTGTCTGCTCTGGGATTTTCCTTTAAAATAATAATAAATTCTCCCCAAGGTCTATTTGTCTGTCTTTCATCCTTGTGAGTTCTTCTTTAAAGTAACT